ACAGGATGCTAATGTCAAACCTACAGAGCAACCGAAAGCTCTGCCCTTAAAATGGCTAACAGATGAACCTGTCTGGGTAGGTCAATGGCCTATGCCATCTTAGAAGTTAGAGGCTTTGGAGAAGTTAGTTCAGGAACAGCTAGATGCTGGACATATTGAGGAATCAACTAGTGCATGGAATTCACCTGTTTTTGTTGTGAAGAAGAAGTCTGGTAAGTGGAGAATGGTAACGGATCTTAGAACCATCAACAAGGTAATTCAGCCTATGGGGTCTCTACAACCTGGGATGCCGTTACCTTCTCTAATACCTAAGGATTGGCGAATTATAGTTATAAACTTAAAAGATTGCTTCTTCACCACACCGTTACAAGAAAACGACAGAGAAAAGTTCGCCTTCACAGTACCTACCTATAATAATTCCCAACTGGTACAGAGATTCCAATGGAAAGTACTGCCTCAAGGTATGTTAAATAGCCCAACTTTGTGTCAATATTTTGTGCATAAACCTCTAGAAATAATTCGCAAAAAATTTCCACATTCATTAATATATCATTATATGGATGACATATTACTGTCTGATTCAAATAAGAATACTTTAGAAAAGGTGTTTGAAGCAGTAAAGGAAACTTTGCCTCGCTGGGGATTACAAATTGCCCCAGAAAAAATACAAATAGGAGATTCTATTAACTATTTAGGTTATAAAATAGACGCTCAGAAAATTAGACCGCAGAAAGTACAGATCAGAAGAGATCGTTACCGGACTCTTAATGATCTTCAAAAACTATTAGGAGAAATCTCTCAATTACAGACAATTATCGGTGTAGAAGGGCATGATTTAAAACACCTGAAAATGGCTTTAAAGGGAGATAAAGACCTAAACAGCCCACAAGTATTATCAGCTGAGGCTGAAAAAGAATTAGAATGGATAGAAAAGAGAATATTAGAAGTACATGTAGACCATGTGGATCCAAAACTGGACTGTATTCTAGTTATTTTACCATCTAGAGAATACGCCTCAGGAATATTAATGCAGAGGGAAGACATCATACTAGAATGGGTATTTCTGCCACATAAACAGAATAAAAAATTGATAACATATATAGAAAAGATCTCTGATTTGATATTAAAAGGTAAGTTAAGGCTTCGTCAACTGACTGAGAAAGACCCAGCTGAAATTATTGTACCTTTAACAAATGATGAAATTTCCTCCTTATGGAAGGATAATGAGTATTGGCAAATAGATTACAGTGACTTTTTGGGAACTATTAGTAATAACTATCCCAAAACAGAGAGAATCAAATTCATAAAGAAAACAATCTGGATTCTTCCACGTATCGTGAGACAAACACCTATTTCTGGAGTTCTTACCTTCTACACAGAGCAAACAAATCAGGTAAGGCAGGGTATAAATCAGGAAATATAAGTAAAGTAGTTCAATGCCCTTACAACTCTGTACAAAAGGCAGAATTATATGCCATTCTCATGGTACTTAAGGACTTTACAGAGCCTCTCAATATAGTCATGGATTCTCAGTATGCAGAGAGAGTTGTCTTGCACATTGAGACTGCAGAATTTGCTCCTGATAGTACAGAATTAACCTCATTGTTTTTACAATTACAGGAAACCATCAGAAACAGGCCTCATCCTATATATATAATACACATCAGATCCCATACAGGTCTGCCAGTTCCTCTGGCACAAGGCAATGATGAAATTGATTGTTTATTAATAGGTAATGTGTTGGAAGCTTCAGAATTTCATAAGAAACACCATGTTAATAGCAATGGTTTAAAGAAGGATTTTTCTATCACCTGGCAACAAGCCAAAGAAATAGTAAGAAATTGCCCCACTTGCTCATTCTACAATCAAACTCCATTACCAGCAGGTTGTAATCCTAGAGGTATTCACAGAAATGAACTTTTGCAAATGGATGTATTTCACTTCCCAGAATTTGGCAGTTTGAAATATGTGCACCCCCATAGACACGTTCTCAGGCTTCCAAAGGGCTACTGCCCTCAGCTCTGAAAATGCTGATTCTGTTATTACACAGCTTTTAGAGGTGATGGCTGTTATGGGTATACCTAAAACAATAAAAACTGACAATGCTCCAGCATATGTCTCCAATAAATTGGAACAATTTTTCCAATATTATAATATAAAATATGTAACTGGTATACCTTATAAGCCCACAGGACAAGCAGTGATTGAAAGATCTAACCAGACCTTAAAAGAGATGCTTCATAAACAGCCAGGGACAACAAAGACTTCCAAACACATGTTACATAATGCTTTACTAACGTTAAATTTTCTTAATGCTGATGAAAAAGGACAAACTGCAGCAGAAAGACACTGGACTACAGAGAAAACTTCGGAACTAAACCAACCACTGTATTTTAAGGATGTTATGACCTCAGTCTGGAAACCAGGATATGTGTTACGTTGGGGAAGGGGTTTTGCTTTTGTTTCCACAGGAGAAGAAAACCTTTGGGTCCCATCTAAATTAATTAAGATTCGATCAGAACAGATCAGGAGGAGGAAAGATGACGGCTCATCTACAAGGTCATATTCTACCATGTACTGCTATGTATAAGGAGACCTCATCAAAGGAAAGAGAAGTGTTCTGTTTGTGTCGTTACAGGAAAAATTAGTTCTGAACAGGGAAAAAATACTAGGTATATGGATACCTAAAGAAGAAAGGATAACTACCCAGAGGAACACCAAACATGCAATAATACAACGTGTTATCAATGTCTAAATCTCTCTATTTTGTTATTGTAATTTCTATGTCCTTAGCTTCTTAATATGCCTGATTCCCAATTCATCTAATTAACGCCAGCTTTAGGGTTGGATTGGCTCTACTGCTTTAAACCCAAGCATATTGTTAAAATTCAATTCAGACTTTCTGTATTATATCAAAGAGCCATTGATATAAGACAGAAAAAAAAACAAAAATAGGGACTGTCATCTGTGTATACTTGATTCTTTTCTGAAACTCTAATCTCCTTCATTTGTATTATCTTCCTTAGGGTCGGCTTTCCCAGTATTCATACACATAAAAGTTAAAAATTTCCGTGCTAAGATTAATATTTCAGTTTTCCAGAGAAAAAGGGATTTCTTGACAGCGATCTTCAACTGCTTCAGAAAGAGAATGTGAATTCACTTTCCCGATTCCGCCTTACTCGACTGGATACATCTAAACTGCCCCACATCATCGAACCCACCTGACAAGCACAATCCTGAAACCAGCTTGGAACTACATCACTCGACACATCTCCAGACCAAGGAACTGATACAGACAAGAGCTTCAATCAAAATTAGAACTCTAATCCCGAACTTCAGTCAAGCCTCTCCTGCCAAACAGAGACTAACTGACCTACTTAAGACTCTTGTTACACTAACAATTTCTTCCCATGGGTCCGCATGATTGTCATCGTCCCACTTCAGCAGGAAGTAAATTTGAGAATTCCACGTCCCTTCTCCCTACTTTTGATATTAGAGGATAGTTTATACCTGTTAGTGTTAATTTGCAATTATTTTAGTGTTGGGATTGGAAGGAGGTGTTCAGACGCAGGCATCCTTTTCAGATAAGTTTAGAATTTAGGTGGAATGGATATGTTTAGCATAGGATAAGTAGATTATAACTTAATTATCACCCTCTATGTATATATGTTGTATATGTTTGAGTTTGTATCAAATTTAAATCTTCTAGTTAGACTAAAAGGGGAATTGTAGGAGTGAACCCCACAAAGCTATCCGCCCATGAGGGAGGGGACATGTAAATTAACACAGGTAGATATAAAAGGAAGTGAAAGGAAAAGGAGCCTCCCTTTTCTCTTGGAAGACAGCCACACTTCTAACTCCTAGCTTGTGCGACTCTCTCTCTGGTAAATAAATATATTGTTTTCCTTATAGCATTGAATATCATTTTTACCTATGCTTATATTTAAATTAAGAAGTCAAATCATTTTAAAAATATGTAAGTTGGAAAAAAAAGCCCAGGTACAGATGGCCTCAGTGCAGAATTCTACCAGAAATTCAAAGAACAGCTTATACCAATTCTTCTCAAAGTATTACACACAATAGAAGCAGAAGGGTCTTTGCCAAACTCTTTCTACGAGGCTTTGATAACATTGATACACAAGCCACGCAAAGACACAACTAAGAAAGAGAACTTTAGACCAATGTCCCTCATGAACATTCATGCAAAAATACTCAATAAAATACTGGCAAATCGGCTCCAAAAACACATCAAAACAATCGTTCACCACGATCAAGTAGATTTCATCCCCGGGGATGCAGGGATGGATCAAGATACAAAAATCCATCAACGTAATCCACCATATAAACAAGCTGAAAAACAAAAATCACATGATCATCTCACTAGATGCTGAAAAACCCTTTGACAAAATCCAACACCCCTTCATGATAAAGGTCTTGGGATAACAGGAACATACCTAAACATAATAAAAGCTATATACAGCAAACCAAGCACTGAGCTGAACTCAAGAAATCCAGTGACAGGGAGGACTGATGACCAAAGGGATTAATACAGGGCTGGTTTAACCCCCAGAAACAGCTTACCTGACAAGGGTTAGCTCTTGAATCCCAGACTGGTGCCTGGGTATCCAGCATGGGACTGATCAAGACCCCCTGAATGTGGATGTCAGTGAGGAGGCCTAGGTAATCTATTGAACCTTGGGTAGTAGATCAGTATTTATCCCGGATATACAAATGGACTTTGGACTTCCATCCAACAATGAGAGATGCACTCTCACACTGAACTCTTGGGGGAGGGTCTAGGCCCTGCCCTGGATGAAATGACTGACGATGGACATCCACATGGAGGGCCTCACCCTTCCTGGGAAAAAGAGGGGATATTGGGGGGCTTGTGGGAAGGCGTGGAAGGAGGAGGGGGAAATGGAGAGGGACCTGGAATTGACATGTGAAGCAACTTTGTTTCTAATTTAAATTAAAATGAAAATAAATAAATAAAAAGAAAAAAGAAAGTGAAAAGCTTTAATACTTAAAAACATCTTTTAAAATGTTCAAACCAATGTTCAAGTCTCATGAAGAGCCCTCCAGTCTTCCCCTTCATTTTTAATAACCATGTTGTTATTTATCAATAAGACAAAATAAATGTCTCCTTGTCATTGATGTCAACATGATATTGAAAAGTAGTAATCTACTTTTAATTCATATAACAAATTACAGAGATGAAAGAAATTGCTTTTCAGAAGGTTTAACACAGTCCTTTTCTGTTCAATAAACTGTTGGGAGGGAAAAATGTGGTTCTTGTGATAGGGGATGTGCATAAAATTTTCTAAGGAAACATTTGTTCAACAGTACATGAAAAGTCCTTGAAGACAAGAGTGTAGAGAAAACTAGAATGTATGTGGAAATATTAACTCTTTCAAAGCTAAGTGGGGAAGTTAAGTATTCTTAATGTTTTCTCCAGTTTTCAATTTGATGACAAAAATGTCAAATGTATTTCAGAAAAAGGTCCAAGGATATAATTAGAATGAATTCTAGAAGTTTTCTTGGTAAAGAAACAATTCTGTTAACATATTTTAGTGTGGTTTCTTTCCCTTTCGGAGTAAGTTAAATCCTTATATATTCTAGCCTTGAGTTTTTCTTATATTTTTCATTTTACTAACAAACAATAAATCCAATGTGCTTTGACAAAATCATTGTGGAAACATACTAACTTATAACACAATGAAAAGATATTAAGAATTAGACAGTTGATAGCATGAATGAATACATATTATTCTTCCCAGAGCCACCCAAGAATTCTGGTGCCAGTTATGCGGTTCTTCCATGGGAGCTGTTATTGAAGAAGGTCCTTAGGAGACTCTCTGTGCTTGGATGCCTAATGGGACAAATTGGTAATACCTTATTGACAAAGAATACACATACAATGGTTACAATATACAGACAAATCAATCTGAGACTGAACTGAATATTTCCCTACTGTCTACTTTTCCAAGAGCAAGATTCTATTTGGGCTTCTAGGAGAGAAAGGAACAACAGTTTTACCCAGCACTGAAATCTACAAATTACCATGCCTATGTACCAAGCAAGATGTACTCCACTTTACAGGAGCGGCAGGGCTGTTATAGTGTTAAGTAATTTCTCTCTGGTCATATGTGAGGCTCATTCTACAGATGAATTTCCATGTTTGAACCTATAAACTTCTTAAAAACTTTGTTTTGGGGGCTGGAGAGATGTCTCTGAGGTTAAGAGCACTTGCTGCTCTTCCAGAAGTCTTGAGTTCAATTCCCAGCAACCACATGATGGCTCAAAGGTTTCCCTTTCTTTCCTGATCTTGCGGGCAAAAGATGGAGATTTAACCTGGTACCCCTAACTTGGTACCCCTTTCCAATACACCCTCATAGCCTTACTTGCTGGCCAACCTTTGAGGGCGATCTCTTAGTTCCCCTTTGCTTTCTTGACCTCAATGGATCAGGCAAAAGGCTGGAGATTAAATTAATACACCTTCTCCGTAGAAGGTGATTTCTTAAGCAAAAGCCTGGGGATTTGACCATTCGATTTTACTGTTATAAGCTGAGGTACCTGTTGTTAAATCTTTTCTTTCTAGAGTCTCTCTTCTCCTAAGTCTTGTTTCTGGCCCATCTTTCCCAGTCTTTTTAAGTCACTCTGGGTCTCGGTGGAACCTCCAATTGCGGCACAAAAACCACAAGCGAGTAGAAGTATCAAGAAAAGAAAGACTAGATGTCCAGCTGTTTGTCCTAAGATGTGTCTTTATTTTTAAAGTGCTAAGATGTCTATCTCGTGTCTTTATTATGCAAGTGCTAAGAGGTCTCTCTCTTATTGGAGGGAGAAATCTTATATATAATCTTACAACACAATAGAAAAACCCCAGGTGGAAGAGAGTGTGTTTTCCTTGTGCTAGATGTTGATGTCAGTGGGGTAATAAGGGGACAGGAAGCCAGTACTAGTAAACAGGACGCACCTGTAGCTATCAGCTGACAAACAACTAGGAGACCATGTGGGGGCTAGGCCCCAACAGCTAAGTATCAATAATAAGAGGTAAATTATAATAATTCATCATATGTGGTACATATTTTATGGAAGTACATGGCAAAATGGATAATTTTCATGTGATTTGTGTGTTTGTGAAACACAGGTTTCTGGGCATTTTAACATTTCTCCTTTGTGAAATGCATATCTGCAAGCCTTTTAAACTTACCAAAACTCCTAAATAATGATAATGAGTTGTGCATTTTTGGCAAGGTAAATGTCAAGAACACAAGATTTCTCTAAGACAAGGCACAAAGGATAGACATTTCTGTGAAGGTGATGCATTTCCATGCAAAATGAGGGCCTATGAGCATGAGGCTTCCATCAGTCTCTAAATGCAGATAAAGTTGACATAGGGTCGTTGTAGGAATCAGATATTATGCTTACTGACGTCACAGATTCAGGTGATTGTACCAAACTGACCACCACATGTCAGTGACTTTTCAGATGGGAAAAGATAAGCACTAGAGTGTGAAGACACAGGCTTTTTGTTTTTGATATTACGAGACAGTGTTTCTCTGTATTGTTTTGGAGGCTGTCGGTCCAGCCCGGCCTCGAACTCACAGAGATCCGCCTGCCTCTGCCTCCCAAGTGCTGGGATTAAAGGCGTGCACCACCACTGCCCGGCGACACAGGCTTTTAATCCAGAACTTTAGGCAGGATTTCATGGCTTTAATCCATGTGTCCCTTTTCTTTCTTTCAGACAGAATCTCCCACAGAAATTGGAGACAGAACGACAGTCAGCAAGCACCAGAAATACTCCTGCCTGTTCCCCCAACATTGTATTACTACAAGAGTGAACAACTCTATCTAGACATTTTTATGTGAGTGATCAGACTCAAGCTCAGTTCTACTGTTTTCCAGCAATTGTTCTTCCCCACTGAGCCATTTATTACTCTGAAATTAATCATATGAGGCTATGTGAAATGATGTGTTGATTTTGTTTGCAACTCTCTAATGGAAATCACAATATATGGCTTATAAGTGTGTAGACAATGAGAGAACTTAATATTTTAATCATACTTTGTATGTATTTTGTGTAAATGAACTGTAAAAAAAGACAATGGCCGATAATTTATACATGTTTTATCTTAACTTTATAATATTTCTAGGCCATCAACTGCACATGTAACCTTGGTACAGCTGACACAAATCTTTAAGGAAAATCTTTTTTGCATAAGGTCAATGTCAAGGAGGCATTCTGTACATGAAAGGCTGTCTCAGGCTCAGCTACTAGTGGAGACATAATGAAGTGTTCGTTCAAGTTTCGGCCAAGATACTGCCCTAATTTGTGTCATGTTACTAGTGGTTTCACAAGGGATCAATGTGATGACCACTGTCAGTCACTCTTTTAACCTCTTCCTAACAATCCCTAAAGTTTGGAACAACCTTTTCTGGGTTTGTTGTTGTTCTAATGTGCACAGCCTTGCCCTGATTGTGAGATTTCCTCTGACTAACTTTGAGTTCAGCTCTTCCTTCTCTCTTCAAATATCCATGCCATAGTTGGTCATCAGGAGCCCTTTAGTCTGGTCCACCAGATAAAGGACTGAACCATGTAAACTACTAAGACTTGAATTACTATCTGGTACATTGCCCCTAAGCAGGTTTCTATACTCTTTACTCTCAATGGTCTTATCAGTCCAGTGAGATTGGTGATGAAGAGATAACAGAAAAAGAAAAGAACTCTCCAGACTGAGGGTGGGGGCATGCCAGAGGGTTAAGTCTTATTTTGTGGACACTGTGTTCTAGCATGCAGTATCAAGAACAAGAAAATTGATGGAACGGAACTTCCTAAAATCTATTATTGTCTAGGCAAAGAATGCAGAATCAACATGGGACTTGGGGAACGGGGAAACTTCTGGAGAAAGATAAAAGGCAAGAAGGGATACTAAAGTGTATGAGGCTAGAGGTGGGGTCTTGGGGCTTTGAAGGACACACCACTCACAAACAGGAGACCGAGAGTATACAGTGAGTAAAGCAATGCATGAATCCTACCAATACTGCCTGCCATGGTGGAGCCAAACACAGCTAAACAATTAGAAAACGCAAGAGAAGCCAACACACTTGTAGTGAACAAGACACTCCATCCTAAAGAAGAGGCTCCAGGAAAGACACAGGAAAGCCATTTCTAAAGCATGAACCCTTCCCCTAAATAAGACAAGACAGGTAAGGTTATAACAAGTAAAGGCACAAATACTGACAGCACAGATACTGCCCAGACAGGTGCCAAGAGAGCAGATACCCAAGTGTTTATAGTCCTTCAGTTCTAGGAACAAATGTAGTGTTTACTAGAACTCCTAAACCCATGTTCTGAATATTGGAGGTTGAATCAAGAATTTCTGAAAGGATGTCAAGCATGTGCTAGAGTTCAGATCACACCCCACCTAACAGGTCAGAGGCTCCAAGATGGATGTGGGACCTGTAATCTCCCTTGTCTCAGCCATCTTGTAGCCAGTATGAGGTGAGGCACACCAACTGTAAAGGTGTACACTGAGCCCTTACTCCCAGGACGTTGCAGCCTTGGGGTTTTTATGGAACAAAAAGCCAATGTGGGATCCATGGAAAGCAGTGATTCACAGGGAAGAGAGGATCACGAAGTGCTGCCACAGACCTGGGAGAAGAAGGGAGAGAACCTGCTTCTCCACTTCTTTGGGATTACACGATTAGACCTTACGTTGGCTCTGACACAGGTTCATACTCAAAAGTGAAAACGACCCTTCATTGGCTCCATGAAGCTGAAACTAAGTAGACCTGTGTCCTCTGGGCATTCCCCTGGTGTTTATCTTGATTAGATTAATTTAGATGGGAAAACCTATTCCCTGTAGGCAAAATCTTTCCCTTGGATGGGATCCCGGACTGTATAAAAGGAAGAAACATCAGCACAGTATATACACTCATTTTTCTTGGACTCTGGTCTCTGGTTGAAATGTCATTCTCCCTCTATCTATTTTGCTTCTATCTATTGCTCCCAATTATGGACTCCAAACTCAAACTCCATGGCAAAGTAAACCTTTCCTTGCTCCCAGCATCTGGGAACACAATTCTAACAAAATTTCCAAGGAACCTATACCAATAGGCAACATCTTTGGCACTGGTGTGTAAGAGGAAGAACGTTATGTATTCTGGGAAATACAGACTCTGAATAACAGATGCAAAGCATACTCAACCCTATTATTAACTATCATGCATTGCAAAGAGGAAAAACACAGAAACCTTACTGATACACTCCCTTAGCCTTCTAAGCACAAGGTCTAAGATGACCACCCCTGGAGCCCTCTCTCGAGGGACCTGACTGAGTAGGAATGCCTGTATCTAACACAACTTAGTCCTCATTCTTGAGACTTAAAACATTGACAGATCACTTGTGAGACTTTCCACATCTGTATCATCTATGTCTGGGACAAAGTGACTGTGAGGGTGACTCAGTCATTCATGTCTACCTGAAGTGAAGTTTCACTCACTCATACAAGATAAGTCTCAACTTTCCTATGGTTTACCACTACTCAATGAAATGCAAAGGTGGTCTTTAAGTGAATCTTTAAATTCTGTGGTTATATTTCTACTGAAGAGCTAGAGAAATAAATAGTATCTACATTCCTAAAAACTACAGCAAAACATCTCCACAGATTTACATGTAGTTCATAGCATAAAGGGCATCTATTACACATAACTGAATATAATTACTGAATTTCCTCTGTACCTTCTGTTTTGATGTGGGGTGTTTCTCTTGAGGTACTAGAGATGTCCTGAGGTTTGTTCTCATTAAGGGGGACCATATGTTGATTTTGATAAAATTCCTTCACGATGACACAAACTGGGAATGAATTCACAACAGGGAGAGTTATATCAACTTCATGCAGATAAACAGGAAACTGCTAATAGTTGAATGTTTGTACATTTGATCTCCTTATTTATTTTCAGGTAAGTCACTATAATTAGAATGGTGTTTCAAGATGATCACTGAGTTCAGTGTCCAATTAATTATGTTTCACATGATGATACAGGTAAAGTCTATTATGGATCACATGAGGTTGTAGGTAAAGTCTAAATTGATATAGATGTGACAATAGGGTAAAGTCTAAATTAATAACCGACTGCTGACAGAGAATGAAGAGCAGCATGACTATGTTGGTGTGGTGTCTTATAGGCAGCATTCAAATCCCATTTAGAGCATCATGACACAGCTAAGTGCATACAATCCCTCTGTGGTCACATTTTTGCACCAGTGAACTAAAAGTTTCATAGGGACCCCCAGAAGTCTTATAAGTGTAAAACAAAATATATAATGTTAAAGCATAAGGAAAAGCACATGAACTGCACAAGTGTTACATGCTGTTTGTGAAATGTGAAAACAACTCGACTAGACAGGAATGACTGAATCATGAGCAAGAGCTTAGTTTTCCACAGGACAGTGACCAGTGGTTGTTCACATTTTATCCTTTGCTTATCCAGGATATTTTACAGTTCATGGAGAACATATGGCATCAAGTTAAGTGAGTTTGGAAGGTAAGCATCTGTGTATGCCTCTAACTTTTTAACGTTGGTTGCCATATTAGGCTATGACCACGATGCTCTGACTAAATTCTTTGACATAAATAACCGAAGAGAAAGATGCTCTGACTTTGATCTCTGATTCAAATTATGAATTTCCTCCAAAATCAGTTGTAGAAGGTCCCTAATTAGTAAACACAGCCTTTCTCCAGCATCTTCATCCTTCCAGCAAGACATTCGGATCATCAAGGACCCACACTGAGAAGTGACTTATACTTGTGTGTCTACCATGATGACTAGACTGCAAGATATTCTAAATGCAATCGTCACATCAAGGTTGGAAAAAAATCTTCTTAAATGGGCCAACTCTGTATAAATGCTCAATGTGAACTGACATGAAAAAGGATTTGGTGCTCAGTAATGAAATGGCTCCCTCTCTAGCTGCTAGTAGATAAGACAAAGGCAGGGGCTACATGAGTAATGAGTGCGGACCGTATCTGCTCACCATTTGCTCATCCAAATTTTAAAAATACTTAATTCTTTGGGAATTCCATAAAATGCATTTTAACCACATTCATCCCTACTTATCACCCTAAGTCTCTTGGTTCCATTCATGTCACTCCACTCATTATTAGCTTTGTGTTATTTTTATTTTCCCTAAAAACCCACCACGATCAACTTGCACTGATCATATATTCATGAGCATGTGGCTATCCTCTGTAATTTAGTCATCCCGCTAAGGGCAAAGTCTGATCTCTTTCCATAAAGAGATCTTTTTTGGGCCTCTTCTATTTCATTTCATTAATTTTGTTTTTTATTGGTTAATTGTTTAATTTGTTGGTGAAAAAGGCCTCTAGCCTAGGCTGGGCTAAAATTCACTATTTAAAAAGGGCTGGTCTTGAACCTATGGCTTTCCTGAATCCACCACTCTAAATCAAAGATTGTGCAAATATGGGTACATTCTATGGAGTGCGTGGCACGAAACTCAGGTTTTTATGACATGATAGATATGTACTAAGTCAATCCCCTTAATAGCTCCACTTAAACACATCAGCTCACTAGTGAAAGCCTTAACATGCAGACACACCAATGTGGACAGAATGACACCCAATGACATTCTTCCCTGATGACTATGTAAATCCACTGAGACTAAAAATGTAATTGGCGACATGGAGTCTCACTACCCATGACAGGAAGTAGCCTTGTTGCTCAGAGTCTATCTCTCCTGTAAAAGTATATTGATGGCTTCTTGCAGAGGACCTGTACAAGATCAAAGAGGTCAGCAGTGGCTTGTAGGGAATCTCTTCTCACCCCTACATGAGAACCTATTGGTAGTTTATAACTTCTATTTGAGGGAGGGACAGTTTGAATTAAAAGTGTTGACCCTGGAAAGTCAACCCAGTGTCAGTGGATGTCCCTAAGTGTTTGAGATTATGTTTAGCATAAAATGGGCTAGAAAGACATTTTTTAAGGATACAAATTTGGGAAAAGGTAAAAAGGAAGAGTGCATTTTTAAGAGTCATGAGAGATAAATAAGCAATATACAATGCATAAATTTATCAAAAATTTAAAAAGAAATAAAAATATAAATGGATTTCTTGAATAATGATTCAGCACAGATCATTAAACAAGTGACTAGAATTCTCAGCAGACACTGTACTTAAATTGTGTGCCTCTTTGTGCCCATGTTGATGTTGTCTAATCTGCTATTGTTGTTTTTAAAGGGTTTGGTTTTTGTTTTTTTGCTAGAATTTACTGGAATGAAGCTTGTCTATGATTAACCAGGTTGGGAAATATCCACCCAGCTTTCCCATATACTGTATTTCATTTTCAGGTCTTGTCTCCTGAAAAGAAGTATGTATGCTTCTTTACCTTTCAAAATTGTCATTATGTACTGAATGCTGACTGACAATCCCTAGGACTTCTAAACACTCCTGTAGTCATTATAGTGTTTGGGATCCCTGTGGATTTGCCTTATTGCAGGCAGATGCAATAAAGAAGACCTTTCCCACAGGGATTATGATACCCTTGATGGGATAAGAAGGGGCTCTTGACATGCATAGATAAAGAGCCTTGTGATGACTCTGTCTATGCTCTGGTTTGTTCATATATAAAGGAACACAAGCATGTAACCCAACCCTCCCTGGTTGTGGGGAAGGTTGAACATATGTTTGTAAGTAAACTATATTCTGGTTTTTCAATTTACAAACTTATCACTAGAAATTGGATTGGGTAGTTGGGATGTTTTTAGATACGACTTGGTGAACAAATCCCCCAAATAACTAGAGGAATCATAATTGAAAATGACAAACATAGACATATGGCCATGGTTTGTTACTTGGGAAATCACTGGCTTTAAAAGCCAAACAAAAATATTAAAACCTGTAATTCTCCTTATCTCAGATCACAGTGGTCCATCACAAAAAGACAACCAGTATTCATATTATTCCCACCTAAAATGAGTCTTAGAGAGTGAGTCTATAATACATACCACATCTGCGTTTGTTAGATATCATCTGTAATTGAAAGGAAAAATAACATTTAGATCATGTTGAATAATGTCTGTAAAGGTCTTTGCTCTTTCCATAGTTGACATAATCAGTATAGAAAAGAGCAGTCAGGTGAAGCCTATATTAATGGACTCCTTGCTTTGATGATGTAACAGAAGATCTGGGGGTCTGTCCTTTGTGCTAAAGACTACCCTTCACATTTTTTCCAATTCAAGGGCAGATCTGGAAAACCTGTTTGGCCTCTACTGAAGGTACCCTAACCTACATCAGATTCCCTCTATAAAAATATGTATTTTTCATTAAGAAATTTTCTGTTTCTAGGGACTATGGTAGAAATAATTTGATAATATGATCCAAAGTTTGATCTTTCAGTAGCTTAGTGTGTACAACAACATTAGGACCTCTAAAACATGATGTACCAGGCTGGAGAGATGATTCAGATATAAACAGTATTGGCTGCTATTCGAGAGGAACCAGGTTTGATTCCCAGAATCCACGAGGCAACTCACACCCATCTGAAACTTCAGTTCCACTCATACACACATATATGCTCATACTGGGATTTGACTCCCAGCACCCACATGGAGATTCTGTCCTCCTTGGTACCAAGTACATGCATGGTGCAAATATACACATGCAGACAACACATTTAAGCATAAAAAAACCCACCACCACCAAAAATAACAAGATCACTTTAATAATTAAAATGTGATGCCCATTGAAACTTAAGGGAACCACTGAGGTAACCTGTCTATCTCAGGGAAAGGAAAGACACTCTTACCGTCGCTATCATCCCTTGTGGATTTTGCTGGCACACAGGTGAAGCTGTGCTGTTAGAATGTTCAGGGGATGCTAGGGGGACAGAAAATGACAGTCAGCTTACAGGACTGCTTACAATTTACACTGATCTTTACTTGGTGTGAGTAAAAGTGCATTTAATTGGTACATGTGACTAAATCTAATCAACAAGGTGGTATGCTGCTGCTAGACTGCCTTCCATAAAGCAAACTAAGGCAGCAGGAAGACTTGGAGAAAAATGAGGATGTACCTTTGTAAATCTAACAAAAGCTTGATCCAGATGACCTACTGAGATTCAAATGTCTTTCCAGGCGTATTGCCCCCAGGAAGAATTCTATTCATTTCTCTTCTGATGATTTTGTCAGTCTCATGAGTTTTGTGATGTAAAGACATATAGTGAACACAAAACGGTCTAGTACATCAAGTGTCGAGGCTGCAGACATGTCTGGTGTTTGTCCACATTGCATGAACAATGTGTTCCAGTATGCAGCATCAACAGAAAGGTAGCAGGTAGATGAGACCACGTAGACCTCCTTCAATCTCCAGACCTGTGGTTCTGAGCCAATGAGGAGATTATGAAAGAGGAGAAGTGGCTATAGAAGGATTGGGGCAAGAGGCAATAAGGGAGACTGACAGGGAGGGGCTAGAAGTGGAATCCTGTGTCTCTGTCACATACGGGAGCCTGACTTTACAATCAATAAACACTGTGCATTAAATCTACAGGCCTAATAAATTAATAGCAGTATCTACTTAAGAGAATACGGCAAATTCATTCATAGATTTTTCATATATCATACAGTATGATCTATAATTATGAAACAATGCAATGAAATTGTTGCATTTCAACAGTACCTTCCATTTCAATTTGTAGTCCCTCTATGGAAGCTGAAGCTTGGATTTCAGGTTGTTTAAAAACTTTATGAACAACAGGGCACCTCCAACACATTTGTCTCAATGTATCTGAACCTGGGAATGTATTAACAACAGCGACAGTTATGTCAGCTTCATGGCATAAAAAACAGAGGAAATCAAAAATGGTTGATTTGTGCACTATATATCATGAACATTGTCCAGACACTGTCCTCAGAGTCACAGTGGTGCCTTAGGAAATTCACTGAGTGCACTGTACTCTCCAGCATGCATTACATGTATGGTGTAGGTAAGTCATAAATTCATGTCAACTTGACAATGCAAAAAGAACAGCAACGTGACTATGTTACATTGGAGTTGTACCTAACAAGCAACATCAAAATCTCTTTTAGAGTCACATGAACACAGTAAACTTTATACCTCCCTACCTTCTGAGAGAGTTTCACTAGGAAGCTATATATTTGACTTCCTATGAGACTTCTCAGTTCAAAACACATGAATATACAAGTATGTATACATCTATGTATATGCATGTAAGCACAGAAACTAAACTTTCTCAAGGAAAAACACATACACCACAGAAGTGTTCTGTGGTGTCTGCTACAGGCAGCAGAGTCAATTATCTATGAATGAACCCAGGTAGCTTGAGTTACTCATGGACAGGAGTACTAAGAGTGCACCATGCCTGTTCATGCCTACCATCTCCGTATTGTTATGTTTTCTATTCTTTTTTTTTTCAGAAAAGATCTCTAGTCTAGTCTAGCCTGAAATTCACTATTGAGCAAAGAAATTCCTTGAACTTGTGTTACTCTTTCTTCCACTTCTTACAGACAAGGATTAACAGGATTGAACCATCCTGGGTCCATTTTAAGCACCACTAAGAAACTCTGGGTCTGAACATACAAAGCATGGACTGAGGCAACAGGGCCAAAGCTCCCGCCCATATTAGCGTATAGCTTCCCTTATGCAAACGACAACATTACAAAGTACTGAAAGTAGACACATTATGCAGGATACACTTGAAAGAATATACTGAGCCACTTGATTCACTGCAGAAAATATGTAACTTTTCAGTGTGAACCTCGAAACATGGAGACTGACCATCACTAAGAGGAAAAACTCCTGAAGCATAGAGTTTATGCAACCTTTAACGGTGTAGTCCCATGGGGAGGGGGGTTTGGTATAATGCATTCCTTCAATAACAGCACTTGTGGGCTTAGACAGGTAGAGCTGTATGATATCCAGGCCATAAAGTTATACATACAGGTAGTGCTAGTACAGCCACAATATACAGTGAGACCCTGCTTCAAAAACAAAAACACAAAACAGAAAACAATACCCTTAATTCCTTAAAGAATGAGATAACACTGTTCAGTATCCAACTGATGACTAGAATTTTTAGTTGACACTGTGCCTAAATTGTGTTGCTGTTTGTGTATACTAATATTTCCAACCCACTTAAACTTTTCTCCAGACATTATAAGAATGAGTCATGTCTATGCTAAATCCATTTGGAACATATCTACCCCACATTCCAGTGTACTGGGTTTCATTTTTGGTTCGGTCACCTGAAAAGACGTATGTGTGCTTCTCTCTCTTTCAAACTGACTATATTCTGCCTACTGAATGACCATATGTAGACAACACAGTCATGATTGTATATGAGATCCCTGTATGTATGCCTGATTGAAGGCAGATGCTGGAAACTGGAAGTCTTCTGTAGGGATTATTGTGCGTTTGATGCGGTAAAAGTGGCTCTCGAGATCCACAGCAAAAGAGCTTCATCAATACTTCTGAACTATGCTTTATTCATAGGGATAAGCACAAAACCACATGCCTGACAAAGCATGGCTGTGATGAGGTTTGGGCACATTTTTTAGATAATCTGTATTCTGATTTTTCAAGTTACATATATGTCATGGTAAACCGGGTTGGGAATAATGCCATGTGTGCTTTTTGGGGGAAAAAGTTTAGACACATCTTGGAGCACAACACAAAATTAAACAAAAGGGTTCACTGGTGAGCAAAATAAACAAAGTTATATCCATGTGTTTTTACTTGGTATATGGTTTCTTCTACTTTTTGTTTAAAGAAGAAAACATACAATTAAAGCCACAATTCTAATTAACAGCATCTTAGATTACATTGGTGCACTGGGCATTGGTTGTGCACACCTTAAATCCCAGCACTTGGGAGGCAGAGGCAGGTGGATCTCTGTGAGTTTGAGACCAGCTAGGACTACAGAGCGAGTTCCAGGACAGCCTCCAAAGCAATACAGAGAAGCAGAGAAGCCCTGTCTCGAAAAACAAAATAAAACAAACAAACAAAAAGATTACAGTGATGCATCATACAAAATACAGCATTTATATAATTCCTACTTAAATCGTGTCGTAGAAGTGATTAAAAACTACATACCATATATGAATTTTCTAGGAGTCATCTGAAATCAATAGGAAAGACAATATTTAATGACATGATCATGCTGAGTAATGTCTTCAAAGACTTTGGTTTGTTCAATGACATGGTGTAATTGCAATCAGGACAGAGAAGAAGAGTAAAGAGGAGACTATATAAATGGGTACATTATTTGATGATGTCACAGAAGATCTGGGACTCTGTACTTTGTGACAAAAACTACTATCTTTCATACTTTTTCTGATTCAAAGCCAGATGAGGCAAACTTGTCTGGCCCTAGAGGGTTACAAAATCTGCATCACATACCATCCATGAAAACTTGTATTTTTTCTAAAATATTTTCTGTTTCTAGGGTCTGTGCTTTGGAAATACCTTGAGTATATGACGCAATGTTTGATGTGTTGGAAAATTGGTGTCCACCTAGAGGACGTTCATTGTTCAGTTGGACAGATCTTTAAACCTATAGTGTCAACTAGAGGCACCCACCTCGATGGAATCACTCATAAAGCAGGACACAAGTTGTGCAACATTGTGATGAATGCTGTCTTGAATCAAGACCAAGTTGGTACAGTTACATTCCCTCCTCCTACTAAATAAACTCTCTAATGCCCATGATGTCTCAGACCAGTTTCATGATTCAAATGTGGTACCCACTGAAACATGAGGGGATCAATGATATAACCTTTCTGCCTTAGAGAAGGGAAAAGTCTTACCTCCACCATCCTCAATGGAGGCTTTTGATGGAACCTTGGTGAAGTTGCAATGCTACCAGGTTCAGGAGACACTAGGGACAAAGAAAGTGTTCTTAGCCCACAGAATTTCTAGTTACAGGAAATCTTTTCTTAATGTGGGCAAAAGTGCATTTATTTGGTACATACAACTAAACCTATTGAACAATAATGTTGGGTGGTGGCTGGACAGTCTTCGAGGAAGCAATACAAGGCAGAAAGAAGATCAAGAGTAAAGTAAAGAGACATTTTTTCCTTATGGATAATGGGAAACTAAAGCATTGTAAACGAATATGTTATATGGTGTAATGGTGAAATACATCTTTGAAACTATCTTTTTATACTCATTCTGGTTGGAAGACTCAGCAGTTGGCTGTTCAGAGAGTAAAACAGAACCTTCTATGCCCGATTCTCTTAGTCCACCATGCATTTTCCAAGTTCTATTTATTGTCCTCAGTCTTACAGCAAGTGCCTTTGCTGGTGAGCCATCTCACTGGCCCCAGAAAACAATTTTTATGACAAGAATCACACAGTGCATCCAGTCCCTGAGATGATTTTGAGTGCAGGGTAATTGCCACTCTTCAGTCTCAGCTGGCCAGCAATAGATGATTACCAATGTCCACGTAGTAAAGGTCTGATCCGCTTTTACTAGAAGTTCAACTGCCTTTCCAGGCAAGCTTTTCTGAGAACAGTTCTTCTATGGTGTATTCTTGTTGCCCTGGACCTCTGCCTCAGACTCCTGGGTCTATGGGTTCTCAGGAAATATGTACACCATACTCATGACAGCATGTACAATGGGCACAATGCCTTTGGAATGTTTTGGTGATAGTATTTCAGTACACAAACTGGGAAAGTACTTTGGCACAAATTCCATGGAGTGCTACTAAGCACAATTGGATATTGAGTGGTGACAAATACTGAAAAACATAAAGTGTTAAGTCTGCCTTCAAATGACAGAGCCAGAAGCAAAGAGTACTTAAGCCCGAGAACACAACTAGACTACCATGATGCCTTTGGAAGAGAAAAGCAATGCAACCTTGTCCCATTTCCTTGACAGTACTGTTCGTTCCCATAAGGACAGCATGTGACACACTACTCCAGAGAGCCATTCCACTTGGGACAGTGCAGAAATGCTGTTGTCTGATTCAAATTCGTTCTAACTCTTGACAATTTTGAAAATTACTGTGTCAATCTTGAGACTGTTGACACTCAGTTCATCCATGTTAAAGGTTTCTGGGAGAAAGTAAGAGAGAGGTGGTTCACCTATCCCTGCCTGCAGCAGGTGAAGTGACAATGACAGACAGAAGATTGACTTCACCTCTCCTATGTTTATTGTTACTTAATGACTGCAACACTTAAAATTCCTCCTTAATTCTTTGGCTGAATTCCACAGAGAAACTATGCAAACTAACATCTACATTGGAAATTACTGCTAAGTTGATCATTTTCACCCCTTATAATGCAGTTCACAACTATCATATAACAACAATTGAAATTATTGCATTTCAACAGTACCTTCCATTCCAGTTCCTGGTCTTTTTTGGAAGTACCAGCTTGGACTTGAGGTTCGTTAGTGTAACAAAGAACAAAAAGGTCTTTCCAATTGATGTTTTTACACATTTTGTAATCTGGGAGTACATTAACGGCAGAGTCAGAAATGTCAGGTTCAGGGCAGAAAACAGAGAAAACCAGTCAGTTTTTCTAGGTCTATCTCATGAGTGTTCTGCAGGCACCTTCATCAGAGTCACAGTGGTGATTAGGGAGATTACTGAGTATACTGCACACTCCAGCATGCATTACATTCATGGTGCAGGGTACTCATAAATTCATGTCAGTGTGACAGGGTTGTGTTTCCCTCCTGAATGCATTGCCTAATGATCGCTCACATTCAAATCTTAGTGAATAAACACTCATGAGGAGAAAAATTTCTGGAGCATAGTGTGTACCTGCCTTTAAAGACGTATTCTCATTGGGTATAGAGAGCACTCCTTTTAGAACAGCACTCTATAGGCAGAGGCAGGTGAAGTTGTGTGAGTTCCTGCCCAGTGTGGTATATGTCTAGGGTGTTCTAGTACAAGTATAGACACACAGTAAGTCCCTGCCTCAAAACAAAGCAAAATAAAACACTGTATTCTCAAAGAATGAGATGGTATAGATCAACCTCCAGTTGGTGACTGCAGTTCTCAGGGCACACTGCCCCTAAATTGTGTCCCTCTTGTGCCCATGCTGATGTTGTACAATCTGTTATGTTTTTCTTCAGAACATACTGGAATGCATTATGACCTAGAAACCATGTTTGGAACTATGCACCACACTCTCCCATGTCATTCATTTATATTTCAGAATCTGTCATCTAAAAACCGGGATGTGTATTCTTAGCCTTTCAAAGAATAGACTGCCTGTTGCAGCTGAATGACACTACCTAGAAGTTCTAACCCCTACTACAGCAGTCATTTTGCCATTTGGAATCCCTATTAATTTTCCTTATTGCAGGCACATGCAAGAAGGCAGAACTCTTTGACAGGATTATTGTGCTTTGGTGGAATAAGTAGTGTCTCTTGAGATTTAAAGTTAAGGTGCCTCATCACTATCTCTGACGTCTGATGTATTCATTTATGGATGAACACACAAACATATGACTGACTCTATATAACTGAGATAAGATTTGAATACATATTTGTAGGTAACTTGTATTCTGATTTTCAATTTACATATCTATCACTGAAAATTTGAATGGGTAAATGGTGTGATATTTTTTGGAGGGGGACATTGAGACAAGAACTGGAGCCCAATACCTCAAAATATCAAAGGATTGCTGTTGCATACAAGGAACATACACATATTTATGATTTTGTACTTGATAGGTCCCTTTCCTAAAAACCACTAAAAAAATCTAAAACCAAAATTCTCCTGTGATTAGGTATCTTAGATAACAGTGGTGCATAACAGAAAATACAACTGGTACTCATACAATTCCTAGTTAACATGTGTCTTAGGAAAGTGACCCAAGAATACATACCGTATCTGACTTTTGTAGACACCACCTGCATTCAATAGGAAAGAAAATATTTAATGCCATGATCATGCTGAGCAATGTCTACAAAGCCATTTGTTCTTCTGCTGACAGTGTAATTGCAGCCAGAACAGAGAAGAGCAGTAAAGAAAACACTATATTAATGGGTATAAGATTTGATGATGTCACAGAAGATCTGGGATTTTGTACTTTGTGACAAAAATTTTAACTTCCATACTTTTCTGAGTCAAAAGCAGTTGAGGTACACTTGTCTGGATTCTAGAGGGTTGTAAATCCAGCATCACATTCCACGAAAAGTTGTATTTTTCTCTAAGATATTCTCTGTTTCTAGGGCCTGTGGTTTGGAAATAGCATGAGTATATGACCCAAAGTTTGATGTGTTGGAAGCTTAGGGTGTCCAGCTTGAGGACGTTCAGTATTCAGTTTGTTAGACCATTGACCCATGAGTGCATTAGAGACACCCACCTTGATGGAATCACTCATAAAACAGGACACAACTTGTGCCACATTGTGATGAATGCTGTCTTGAATCAAGACCAAGGTGGTACAGTTACATTCCCTCCTCCAACTAAATAAACTCTCTAATGCCCATGATGCCTCAGGCCATTTTTGTGATTCAAATGCGATACCCTCTGAAACACTAGGGGACCGCTGATGTAATCTTTCTGCCTTAGAGAGAGAAAAACAGTCTTACATTCGCCTTCCTCTGTGGTGGCTCTTTCTGGACCCTTGGTGAAGTTGCACTGCTAGCAGTTTCAGGAGACACTAGGGACAAAGAATGTGACTCTCAATTCCCAGAAATTAGTATTATTTATATGGGATTTTTGCTTGATATGAATAAAAGCTCATGATCTTAGTATATTTTAATACACCAAATGAACAATATGGTTGGGATGTTGCTGGACTTCCAAGAAGAGAAATTAAGGCCGAGAGGTGACATGGAAAGAAATGAAGAACACTGACAGATTTTTGTCTTTCTAAGTAATGGGAATTTGTAGCATTGTAAAAGACTGTGACGTATGGTGTGAAAACGAAATACATCTTTCCCAAACTTACTTCTTACATTGCTTGTTTGGGAGGTCCAACCCTGCCTGTGGATGCATCAGATTTAAACCCTCTATGCCTGACTCTCTCAGGGCACCATGCATTTTCAGGTTCAATTTCTTGTCCTCAGTCGTACAACAAGTGCCTTTAATGCTGAGCCATCTCACTGGCCCCACAAATCGTATCTGATGATAAAAATCACACAGTGCAGCCACTCCCTGAGATGATTTTGAGTGCAGGGTAATTGTCACTCTCTTCAGGCTCAGCTGGCCACCAGTAGACAATTACCTATGTCCATGTAATTGGACCTGATCCACCTTTTCTAGAGATCCAACTGCCTTTCAAGATTCAAAGAAGGGTTCTTTGCTGTTCTCTCCTAGGTATCGTTTCAAACTCATGAGCTATGTGAGAGTGAGCCATCTGGGTATTGATGAAATGTCTAGGACACCCAGGACTGAGGCTGAAGAACATGTCTGGGAGTTAGTCCACACTGCCTGGCCAATGTCTTCCAATATACAGGGACCACCAATAGGGGAACCGGTTGATTAGATCACACAGGCCTCCATGGCATGCCAGACCAAGACACATGGTAATAATGAAAGAGAAGTAGCTGAGAAGGATGGGGCAGGGGCAATAGGAAGGGAGACAGAAAGGTGGGGGATAGAAGTGGAAACCTTTCTCTGACACACACATTTCAGAATCAAGTAGAAACTTTGAATTCAACATACAGATATACTCTATGAAAAGGAGCAAAAGCTACCTCAGAATGAGAGAATCCATAGAAGCACATACACTTCTGATGAAACTGGTTTGTGAGCCTACTGAGGACATGGTAGTGAAGTCACTGAGAGGTCAGAGACTGCTTAGATCAAGTTTCATGTCCCCAGGAAAGATGAGAAATGTCAGACCATGCCAAGCAGGTGGGACTCAAGTACCGACAGCTCAAGGGACAGACACATCCGATGATTGCCTACACAGCTAATCCCCTCATGTCTATGTCCTTTAATCTGAGGAATATGGGCAGTATTCTATGGAATTCACAAACTCAGTCTCTTAATCTTGGAGGATGAAATAAGGATGCCTCTAAAAGCATTAATGATAGGTCTGAGTACAGATCCATTCCCCCATCATCCTTCATTAATTCAAAGTGTCCAAGAGAGAAATCAGCCTGTAACCTGCCTTGACTCAGTCACCCAGCATGCTAGTTAAAGTTAAGGAGCATAGACTGCTAAAAGCTGCAGACACACATGGGCCTTTACTTTTCACGACATTGATAGTGTTGCAATGCGGTCATACTAGAGTAACCTACTATTTGTTTATCAGCCTGTTGATGTCCTTTAAGGAGGGGCTAAATGGTCAGTAGAAGAACAATTAGGCACTACTACATCATCCCACTGGACCTAGGGAAAGTATCTGCTTATTCTGCACCACTAGGAGAACTTAGTAAGAATTTTAGATATGTATACATTTGAGTGTACAGGAGGAGGAGGTCTTCCACCAGAAAGACTCAGTTTATCATAGTTTGAAACACAAAACTGATCACTACCTTTGGGGGGCCCAGTGATGGTTAATTACAAATGCCAAGATGATAAGGGCCAGACCTCTGGGCCATGGCAGTAGAGCATTATATTGACAGGGTTAACTGAGAAAGTAAACTGTCTCACTGTCAGTGGGCCTGATAGGCACAACTATATAATGAGAAGGTGAGCAGAACATAAGCCCTCCTTTGCCTGACTCATGTTGCATTGAACCTGTGCCTCAGACTTCTGGATCTATGGGTTCTCAGCAAATATGCGCACCACACTCATGATAGCATGACAAAATGATCTTTGGCATGTTTTGATCATAGTATTTCATCACACAAACTGTAAAGTACCGTAGACATTAATTCCATGGAGAGCTATTTAGCACAATTGGACATTTGGTAGTGACAAATGCTGAAATGCATTAAGTGTTAGAAGTCTGCCTTCAAATGACATAGCCAGAAGCAAAGAGTACTTAAGCCTGACAACATATCTAGACTACCATGATGCCTTTGGAAGACAAAAGCAGTGCAACCTTGTCCCATTTCCTTGTCTGTACTGTTCTGTTGCATAAGAACACGGTATGAAACACTATTCCAGAGAGCCACTCCATTTGGGATAGCGCAGAAATGCTGTAGTCTGTTTCAAATTTTGTCCTGTTTCCAATTTTGAAAATTACCATGTTAATCTTGAGAATGCTTACACTCAGTTCATCTACGTTAAAGGATTCTGGGAGAAAGTAATAGATAGTTGGTTCATCTATTCCTGCCTGGAGCAGGTGAAGTGACAATGACAGAGAGTAGATTGAGTTCACCTCTCCTATGTTTATTGTTACTTAATGAATGTACCATTTGTTTATATTCTGTTCATCCTCATTAAAAGTTTGTTGGAGAAAGCAATGGGTTGGCTTACCTATTCCTGCCTACAGTAAGTAAACTAACAGATTGAGTTCATCTTTGTCATGCTTTTTGTTGCTCAATGATTGGAAAAGGTGAAGTTAAAATTCATTCTTAAATTGTGTGGTTGAGTTTCAACTGATGAACTATGCAAATTAACATTATCTAAGTAGAAAATAATTCTAAGGTTGTCAACCCCCCATTGTACAATAATTGCCTGTAACTGCTATATATCTCCCAATGATATTATTGTCTTTCAACAGCACATTCTGTTTCACTTTGGCCTTTCTATGGAAGTGCCAGCTTGGACTTGAGATCCTTCATCAATCTCTTCAATAGTAGCATGCTTCTGGTGGTGTCTAGCCACGATATTGGACACTGGTAATGTTTAACAGCAAACAGTTTTGTTAATTTCATTCCAGGAAAACAGAGGTAACCAGTAATATTCTTTTTTTGTACATTCTACCTCATGCTCATATTCAATCACTGTTATCAGAGTCACGCTGGTGTTTCACAAAAATCACTGAGTACACTGCATACTTCATCATGTATTACACTGATGATGTAGGCAATTCATAAATTCATGTCAGTGTGACTGTGTTAGAGAAGACCCACTTTACTGTGTTACATTGACTTTGTACCTGATTAGCAGCATCCAAACTCTTTTAGAGTTACATAAACACAGCACAATTCATAAACTCCCTCACTTCTCTGTGGTCTTAGCTAGGATGCTATATACTATGAGTCTTATCAGTCCAAAATATAGATATAAAAGCATATATTCATCCATTCATATATCCATCCATCCATACACACACACACACATGTACACACACATAAATACACACACACATACACCCCCACACACACAGTCACCATGAAAGTTTGCCCTCAAGGTAATGGACATATTTGCTAATATGTTATTTATTATTTATTAAAGTTTGCCTGAAGATATGAAAGCAAAGTTAGCGTCAAGACAGATATGAGACAGTGGTTGTACACACCTTTAATCCTAGGTCTCAAGAGACAAAGGCAGATATATCTCTCTGAATTCAAGGCCACCCAAGATTAAATCAGTATAAAAGAGTACCAGAACTTGTGCCTTTAATCCCAACGATGGCATGATATAAAAAATAAGAGCAGAGTCTACAGTAGACTCACTCTCAGGATTCTCCAGCCATGTTGAGGAGAGCATAGCAGTCTGGGATTGCAGTGTTAGCTTTGGAGGAGCCAGGATAGTCTCTCAGTCTGAGGTAGAGGTAAGAGTTAGTGGCTGGGTGCTTTGATTTTCTGATCTTAAGCTTGAAGCTTGAACCCCAATATCTGTCTCTGGGTCTTCTGTTTATTGTGCTACAGACATACACTATGGAATTGCTCTGTGGTATCTATTAAACAGCAAAAGAGTCGGCTACATATGAGTAAATCCAGGCAGCATGACATTTGTGTTGGTATCTCACATAACTAAGAGTAGAGAATGTATTTATTTTCACTCTTTACATTCAATGTTTATGTAAGAAGCCATAGGAGGGCCCAAGCTTAACAGAAATATGAGGTCTTCCTCCAGTGTTTTCAACCTGCCTGGTGCCGATCACTGAGTGATTTGCTGATAAGACAACCACATTGAGAGGTAAACAAGACTTGCATATTTTCTACAAATATCCAAATTCAAAGTCACTTAAAGCCAAGTTGTCACATGATGGTTAGCATGAAAAGAAACTTCCCTTCAACTAAGCAAGCCTCGATATGTTCTCATCATACACTGACAAAAACAGCAGCCAGATGCATTGGTAATATTATAAACAGTGCCTGAACACATCATTTTCTAGGTGACATCCTCATTGACTATCTGTAGGGCCTTGATTAATTCTAGCTAAGATGCTGTAGTGACTAAGGAGGAATGACAGTGCACCATACATGTCCATGCCTTCCTCACCAAACACCTACTGTCTCTATACTGTTATGTTTTCGTTTTTTCAGAAAAGATCTCCATTCTAGTCTAGCCTGAAATTTACTCTACAGCAAAGAATGACTGAACTCATGTTTCTCCTTCTTCCACTTCTCAGTGACAAGGATTAATAGGACTTAACCATCTGGGGTACATTTTAAACAGAACTAAGAAACTCTGGGGCCTGGACATGCTAAGCATGCACTGAGGGAACTGGACCAAAACCTCCAGTCCATATTAGCATACTAGCTTCCCTTAATCTAAATACAATACACCAAAGTACTGAAAGTGTAGTTGCACTCCATATAAAATACTTTCGACATGATGTTACTGAGTCTTATGTGGTTCACTACGGAGCATATGTATCTGAGTGGTCATGCTGAAAATATGGGGACCAAATACCACTGAGAAGAAAACTCCTGAAGCATAGAGTGTACTATATTTTTAGAGGTATAGTCCCACTGGGTGTGGTAGTGAACTCCTTTTATAACAGTAGTCTGTAGGCAGAGGCAGGTGGAATTGTGTGAGTTCCAGGTCAGAAAGGTATATACAGAGATAGTCCTGGGAGAAACATGTATACACAGTGAGACCCTGTCTCAAACAAGTAAGCAAGCAAGCAAGTAAGCAAAAAAACCCCACCATATCCAAAAACCAAAACCCTATATTGTCCAGAAAGTCAGATAGTACAGATCAACATCCAGGAGGAGACTGGGGTTCTTAGTGGACACAGTGCACAAATTGTGTTCCTTTATGTGCCCATGCCAATGTTGTTAAATGTCTTAAAGCTTTTCAGGTTTTACTGGAAGGAGCTAACCAAGTCTAGCTCAAATCCAGTTCACAACTATCATATGTCAATGTTAGCACACTGTCTCTAACCTGTACTACATTGTGGGCTGTTTTCTTTCCTACTTGCTAATGTGTGCAGGCAGGAGAATTTCACTTTCCCAGCCTTCTGACCACTTTGGTAGGTGTGGCAGTCCTGAGGACATTACTGTCACTTTGATTTATTGCAGCCAGATGTTGGAAATCTGGACACTCTTCTGTGGAGATTATTGTGCCCGTGGTGGTGTTAAATGCAGTGGCTGTACTGCATGTGTAAAGACTCTCATCACTTATTCTGAACCTTGGTTAATTCACTTGCTTAGGAAAACACAAGTAAAACTACTACATATGGCTGTGGTGAGCTTCAAACACACTATTATAGGTAAATTGTGAATATTAATTTTATTCTTAAGTTAAAAAAAGTCTCCCAAAACAAGGATGGAGTCTGGGCTGGGATCCCCTTAGCTGAAAAAGTGGCTCAAATCCTGATTTTTTTCTCAGCAATTTCCCTGGAAATTGGGTTAGTGACATGGATATCTGTCTAGATAAAATAAATTTAGACACAGCCTGGCACACAAAATCTCAAACTAAGGAGGTCATAACAGGATGCAGCTACTTTAGACAGATGACTATGTTTTCTTTTTTGGGGCATCACTTTGTTTTTAAATCAAACTCCCAGCTGCAAATTGATAGATGTGTTATTTCATACTGTGGTGCACTAGACAAAAGACAAGCAGTATTCATACAATTCACATCTAAAACATGTCTTCGGTGATTCCAGAATACATACCATGTCGGGGTTTTGTAGGCTTCATCTGCAATACATAGGAAAGAAAACACTGTGAGGCTTGGATTATGGTGGGTTCTGTTTGTACAACTTTTTGGTTCATCTGTTTGCCAGGCATTATTACACAAAGGACTGCCAAGCCCTTGGATGGAAGATTCTGGATTAGTATGTAACATGATACTGACACAGAATGGCATGTCTGATTTGTGACAAAACAAAACAAACAAATAAAAACTATTATGTTTCCTACTTTTGCTGACTCCAGGCTATATCTGGCAACCCTGTGTGTTTGGCCTCCACTAACGGTTCAGTTAAGCTACATTACACACAACAGAATAATTTACATCTGTTGATTATGATCTTATTCCCTTTTATGGATCACTCCAATAATGTGCACAAATTCTCATGTCTTAAAGTTCTCGGCACCAAGACATGCCAATACTGGGACATATGAGGCTTCAAACCACATCTCTCTTTGGAGAACATAACCAAATTCAACCTAAGCCAGAGGCTCTAGAAGTCATAAAGGGAGGGGCTCCCCTTACTTTAAATTGAAACCCACAAGGATGATGAGCCTATCAACTTCTGAGTGAAATTTGCATGCTTTTGTCTAAAGCAGAACATTATTCTCAAAAAGACACACCCCCAATCAATGCTCCTTGACATAAGTAAGTGTGAATGTTCTGTCCAATCACTAATCCGGTATAATTCTGTTTCCCCTTCTTCCTAAATATACTATTTCATGCTCGTGATAACCTAATCAAATTAATTTTTCAAGTGTGATAGCCACTAAAACTCAGGGAATAATCATTAAACTAACTTTTGTTTCTTACATAAAGCAAAGAAACTTTTTACCTCCACCAAGGTCTCTAGACACTTTTGTTCATCATTTGGGGAACATAGGACAATTTCATGTTCTACAGGAACATCTAGAGGAACAGAAAATAACTGTCAGCTCATGGTACATTTATTCACCCAACCCATCTCTACTTGACTTGTATAAAAGTGTATGTAGCCAGCACATGCCATTAGTTAGGTGATTACTGGACTGTCTTCCTGATGGCAAATGTAGGCAAAGATCATTGTTTTCTACTTTCTAGAGAATGGGAATCCAAATCAATGTGAGAATCTGTTTCAATATGTAACTACTGAGTGCATGTTTCAAAAACTTTTATACACTTATTCAGTTTGGGAGGGAGCACACAAGAGGACAATGTTTGGTGTCTAGTTCTCTCCTTCCATTATGTGGGTTCTGGAGTTGGAATTAGAATACCAGGTCTAGTGACAAGCACTAATACCTACTGAACCATCTCACTCTGCCAAGTAAAATAAATCTCACAATTAAACCACATATCATCATCAGTTCCTGAGATCATTTTGAAACCTAGAAGAACTGACAGTGATTGAGCATATGCCACAAGCAATTTCAACCTCCATCAACTGATATATTCTGATACTGCATTCATCATAAAGAACATAGAATTTTAGCTTTGGTATCAAACATTGTACTGGGGAAGTGAATTTAGTACAAGGCATATGGTGTAACTCTATTCATCCTTTGACATAGAACAATAATTTATTGAAGAGTGGAAATCAGTAATAAGCATGCCGTGTCTTGTTTCTCCTTCCAGTACTTATTATTTTATAAACTTTTGTATTCATGTTTTTGTGGGATCCAATTTAAAACCAGAAGTGATGGGGGAAAATGAGTTTCTGGATCCATTTGACCACTCAAAAGTCCTTTAACGTAGCTCTACATGAGAGTTGCTTCAGGGGTGATGTATACTCTTAAAACTGGGTAGATATTCGAGACACCCACGTAGCACTCTTTCAGGGTGTGTAGCTCAAATGTCTCTGCATTTCTGAGAGCCACATTTGTATTGCTGTTAGACAAGGACCGAATTTGTATTGCCATTAGATACCAATTAAAGATCTCTTCATCTGTAATTGCCTTTAGGCCAGGTGTGAAAACCTGAGTGTCCCAAACCTAAGAATCTGTGAACTGATGAGACTGGTACTTCCTTATGATGATTAGTATGAAATGTGACACTGATGTAGCAATACCTGTCCTGGGCTAAGTGACCATGTGTGGACTCCATGTCATAAATCAGGTAAAGCCTAGGACTTGCAGATATCCTGACATGTACAAAGAAGACAGGGCTTCTTGTTTGGTGACTAAGGTAACATTTTAGAGATTCAGGATAGTGGGCAATTATGTCTGGGTTCACATCATGGCTTTTCCATCTAAGAGTACATTCACCATTGAGTGTGTGTGTGTGTGTGTGTGTGTGTGTGTGTGTGTGTGTGTGTGTGTGTGTTATTCCACCCTGGGAATTCACATAGCCAATAAAGAAAAACATGTATCTTGGATGTTGCTAAGTGATTCAATGACAGTAATCTAAGCAGTGTCAATACTCAGGCTAGTTATTTTAAAATGTCCTTCTATCTAATGCCCCAAATTTTAAATGCCTAGGTCACTCTTCTTATAATGATATATGTTGCTCGTCCTAAGAGCCTACATTTGAAATTTGCCAACCTTTATTAAAAAGAAGTTCAGATTTTAAAATGATGTTTATATTGTCCTATGTATCAATCAATGTCCATGCCAAAAAAATTGTTTTCCAGAGTATTCTAACTGCTTTACCATGGACATTGAAGCCCTGTTTAATGAAATGAACACCGGATTCTTTGACAGATTAACATTACAAATTAAAACTTCTAGAAATATAAGACCATTGAAAACCTAAAATCTTAATTAACAGCTCTCCATAACTGTGACCATCTCTACCTTTAGGTTTTGATCAATTCATGTAGACAGCTATAGCTTGGCTTTGTGAAAGACTTCTGAAAGCAGGTCAGGATAAGTGAATCACATAACACATGAAAACAGAAATAAGAGTTAACATGTCTCTTCAGAACTGTGGTTCTACATACACAGAAACACAATTCGTGTTTCAAACAATTCTTTCTGTTCACCACATACATACTCTTTACACTCATTGGTGACTGTAAATTGATATCAACACTCTAATTAGTTCATCAGTCTTTATAATTCACCACAGTCTCTATTTCATGTGCTGAAATAGTGATCACGCATTCAGGACAAAACAATCACATTACAGTGTGAAATTTATCATAATATTTCTACTACTGTGAGTCACTCTGGTTTTCTGAGATGAATAACTTCAATACAGAGAAAAAAGTATTTACTGTACATAATATTTATGAAAGAGCATTGCAGTATTTATATATAGGTATATCTACTAAGGACAAGCTTGAGGGAGGGAATATGAATTTGTATTATATATATCACATATACATACAGGTTAAATTATGAAGTCAATTTTTTCATAGAGAATATAATACATACAATATATACTAAGGCATAATCCTAACAATACAGAAGTTATAAAAGAAGATATTTTGAGAAATATTTGCTAGTCTAATTGAAGGAGTACTCAATGACTAGTAATCACATACCTTGACTGTTACAACAATTCCCCATTATACTCTAATTCCAACACAATTATCACTCCACAATTTATTTTTGGTTGTGAGCCTAGCCTTTAACGGCTGAGCCATCTCTCTAGGCCCACTCCACAATTTATAACCATACAGTCTGAAGAAACTTTCAAAGTGGAATGGCATTCAGAACTGAGGCATGATATATCTAAGTACATGTCAGCATGGTGTCATAGAACTCACATAGTGAACTCATAATACAATACATGCAATGATATCCAACAGCTGCTATCTAGTCAAATCTGCTCATATATTCTAAGATTACAGGGTGGGTTATTATGAATGCCAGTGTACTTTACTAAGAATGACCAACTCCAAAGTAAATACCTTCCCCATCCCACACAAAGCTTGCTCTCAAGAAAATGGACATAAACAACAGAATTGCTCTGTGGTTATCTGTTGAACGGAAGAAGACTCAGCTACATATGAGTGAATCCAGGTAGCATGAGGTTTGTGCTGGTATCTCACATAACCAAGAGTAGATAATGTATTTATTTTCATTCATTACATTCACTGTTTATGGAAGAAGCCATAGTAAGGTCCTCGCTTAACAGAAATATGAGGTCTTTCTCCACTGCTTTCAACCTGCCTGGTGCCCCTCACTGAGTGATTCTCTGATCATAGGGGCACATTGAGAGGTAAACAAGGCTTGCATATTTTCTAGAAATACTCAGATTCAAAGTCACCCAAAGCTGAGTTGTCACATGATGTTCAGCATGAAGAGAAACTTCCCTTCGACTAGCCAAGCCTCGATATGTTCTCGCCATACAATGACAAGAACAGCAGCCAGATGCATTGGCAATATTATAAACACTGTCTGAACACATCATTTTCTAGGTGACATCCTCATTGACAGCCTTGAATAATTCTAGCTAAGATGCTGTAGTGACTACAGGAGTAATTGCAGTGCACCATACATGTCCATGCCTTCCTCACCAAACTCCTATCTTCTCTATACTGCTAAGCTTTTTTGTTTCAGAAATGATCTCTGTAGGTTTTTTTAATTCTTGCTTTTTGGGGACACCACGCACCTCCCAAATAAATGCATAAAGACTTACTGATACTTAAGAATGCATAGTCTTTTTTTGGTGGGGAAGGTTTCAAGACAAGGTTTCTCTGTATTGCTTTGGCGGCTGTTCTGAAAGTCTTTCTGTAGGCCAGGCTGGCTGGCCTCAGCGCCCTAGTGCTGGGATTAAAGGCATGTGCTACCAATGCCCAGCAAGAACGCACAGCCTTATCTCATCTTATTTCTAGCCAGCTTTTCCTAACCTTTATACCATCTACATTTTGAATCTGCACTTTTATCTTTTTCTATTCTATATACCTTCCTTTCCTTATTAATCCATGGTTTGCTGTGCAGTTGGGTGACTGACCCCTGGGGGTTCTCCTGTCCTCTTATTTTGACCCTTAATCTCTCTTCCCAGATTACTCCTCCAATTTATTCTTTCTGTCTGCCAGCCCTGCTTATCCTTTCTCTTGCCTAATTATTGGCCATTCAGCTCTTTATTAGACCAATCAGGTGATTTAGGCAAGCAAAGCAACATAATCATTAAACAAGTATTCCAGAGAATAAACAAATGTAACACAGCCTAAACTAATATTCTCAACAAACCATGTCTTTGGCATTTCCTTCAATCTGCAGAGACAGCCTCACTGGCTAGAAGTGTGTCAATACCCACACCTTCCTCCCAATGCAAGTCCTCTCTCTCTCTCTCTCTCTCTCTCTCTCTCTCTCTCTCTCTCTCTCTCTCTCTCTCTCTCAGAAAAGCACACACACGCACAACACCACAAAAATCTGAAACCAAAACATACACACTCATCAAATGAAAAATCTTCCAAGAGGACCCTACAATTCTAAACATTTATGCACCGAACACAAGGGCACCCATATTGATAAAAGTACTACAGCTAAAGTCACACCGATCCCCACACAGCAATAATGTGACTTCAATATACTCTATTCAATAGACAGGTTGTTTAGACAAAACCCAGTCAGAGATATGATGGTTTTAAATAATACCCCAAACTACATGTACCTTGTAGATAACTAGGTAATATTTCACTCAAATATACAAGAATATATTTTCTTCTCAGCAGTTCATGGAGCTTTGACCATATAACTGCACATGAAGTTTCAACAGACACAAGAGAACTGAAATAGTACTCTATATCTTATCTGGACACCATGGACCAAAACTAGATATCAACAACAGCAGAAACAACAGAAAGTGTACAAAAACATGGAAACTAAACAACGAACTACTAATGGAAATTGAGTCAAGACAGAAATGAAGAAGGAAATTAAAACTTTTATTTATTTTTGAGACAGGGTTTCTCTGTGGCTTTGGAGGCTGTCCTGGAACTACCTCTTGTAAACCAGTCTGGCCTCAAACTCACAGAGATCTGC